TGCATGCATGCATGCAGGCATACATGCAAACGTGCATACATGCATCCATGCATGCAAACATACATACATACATACATACATACATACATACATACATACATACATACATACGCCCGTGCATACGTGCGTACGTACCTGTGTACATGCGTACATACATGCATACATAGCAAGTGTTTAAAGCAAAGAATTTATGAATACATGAGTGAATGTGAGAAAGAGTACAAAAAGATCAAACGAACGAACGAACGAACGAGTGAGTGAGCGAGCAAGCAATTCAGTGAGCGAGTGAGCGAGCGAGTATGTGTGTGTGTGTATGTATGTATGTATGTATGTATGTATGTATGTATGTATGTATGTATGTATGTATGTGTGTGTGCACGCGTGCGTGCGTGGGTGGGTAGGTGGATGGGAACCAACAAGCGAATTAACGGAAGAACAAATGAAGAAACGAACCAACAAAAGAACGAGCGAGCTAACAAACGAACAAACGAACGAACTGCGTGGAATACGTCAGCGGAGCAGTGAATGAGCGAAGGAATGAGCGAAACGAATCTATCGACCTGGACGGATCCATAAACAAGCGGCTGCTTCTGAAAATATTGCTTTAACCCTTGGCTGGAACGGAGACCACTCTGTGCCATCTCCCTGGGTCTCGAGCCATCTTCCAGATCCATCACTCTTCCACCTCGGGCTCTTCCACTTGGGTTGAAGCTTGTGGGTCCCTTCTTCGGGTCCTGTTGATGTTTCTGGCATGATGCTACGCATGTGCGTCACCGATGAAGTAGCCCCTGGTTGAGATCAAGCCATACATGAAGGCGAGGCGCTCGAATCCTTTACTTGAACCACCACTTGGCCACGCGGAGCAAAGGGATCATCGGAGCTCACAATGCGAAGACTCGCGTCCTGCAGGTGCCGGGCTCTGGAACATACATCCTGAGATGAACACCTGCTGCTCGGGGATGGCGGCAAGATATCACACGCGGGCATAAACCGCATGTGTACATACATACATTACCATGTATGCTGTAAGAAGAGCGGGAGAGGGGGAGAGAGTGAGAGGGAGAGAGAGAGAGAGAGACTACAAACACATCGATGACACAGTAGATGCAGGCATGTAACTGTATGTATGTATGTATGTATGTATGTATGTATGTATGTATGTATGTATGATTGTATGCATGTAGGTATGCATGTATGCGTTCATGTACGCATGCATGAGTGCATGTATCTTACTGTGCCTGCGGAGATGCGTCCAAGCTTATGTGTGCAGATGTGTGCACGTGTGAGAGTGTCCCCGACTGAAATCGAATGCCCTTGCTGCAAAGACGGTTCCTCGCCCTTGCCCATAGCTTTCAGCCTCAGCAGACTAGATTCTTAGAGGAGCGTCGTGGATGGTCGTGTAATCAAGGTCTTAGCAGCTTCTACTACGATTGGCCGGCATTGATGCAGACAACATGCTCCAATTGGAAACATAATGACATAATGTCGCATCATGAGCAGCTCGATGCTCAGCGCAGGGCACAATGGTGGAATCTGCCTTCACGCGGACCCTCCGCGGAATGCCATAGGGGCGTTGTGTGACTTGCAGCGCAGCAGGGTAAACCTTCATCCACTTCTCCAGAAATAGCACCTGGTCGACAAAGATGAGTCAGAATGGAACTGCAGCACCTGAAACCTTCAGTCCCAAGTGGCAGAGAGACTCATGATGGGGCTCATGAACCCTGGCCAAAACCTCAGAAACCACTCATATTGTCCAAGAGAAGGGGACGGGCTTCCCGACAGCAACCGCGAAAGCCGAGCTGCGGTGGGGCGCGTACTCGCTCGGTGACGTAAGACTCCAAGCTCCCGTACCAGACGGAGGTCAGGGTAACGTAAGGAGAGTACCTCTCTTGGGTCTTTCAGGGTCTGGTGCAGATCCGCTTGTCACCGAGTATGCGTCGGGGCACCCGAGGTGCTCTTGCAGCAAGCTACAGCGATTGCTGCAGGTGCGTGGCCCGATCAAGCAGCCAATCAAGCTGAATGCCTTCAAAAGGCGGGAGACATGCTATGACATGCTGACAGAACAACAAAAGAAAGCACTGGCTCAGGACATCCACACCTTCGGCCATCGGGCGCGTGTCACGATGATGCGGGTGCTAGTAAAAGTCAGCAGAGTGCCTCGACGGTTAGAACTGCAGTCTACAAGTCACTAAGTTGAACTGCTGCAGACTTTCAGGCCCAGCCACTGTAGTTGAAGGGATCACCAAAGAAACCAAAGGCGTTGAAACGATGCTCCCAGATGTGCTGCTCGCCATCGCAAAAGACTTCTTCCAGCGGGCAAACTCCTGCAGGCCGCCGGCATCATGACTCGAAAGACTGCGTCTGACATCATACGGTCATACAGCTGCGTGCGGGCTGCAACTTAAAACCCCGCTGCCACCTGCTATGTCGCCTCCACCATCTCCCACTGGTCGAAGCCCTGGAACTTTGGCCGAGCTTTGGGCCAACGTGCTAAAGGCATCGTACATCTCCAGAGCCTGTCCAGAAAGAGATCCACATGACTCCAACTGCCAAGAGCCGCAGCTTCGCAGCCTCGCCATGTTGTCCTGAATTCGAATTCATCAAAGGATGTGGAACGGAGCAAGTGGTGCCACTCTGCAACTGCCAAGTGCAGCCAGGGCTCGAGTAACTTGGAGCAATCCAAACTTACCACGGACAGTCACGGTGCCTCGTCTCCACGCCTTCCGAACACATGTGGTGTGCATGAACTCAAGTTTGACCGGCTGTGGCATCAGCCTTCGAAAACCCGGAATGTAGACGATCTTCAAGAAGAGGACGTGCAGGCATGTCGAGCTGCGCAAGAGAGATCGTACCAACTTGGAAGCTATCCTGAGAACGCCAGTGCGGCAGTGCACCATCTTGCCGATAAGCTTGAAGCAAGGCGCATTTATTTTCCTGTGAACAAGAGCAACCAGCAGCTCACTTCATCTAGGCGGCCAATTGGATCGACGTCCCTCCATACCATGCCGGGCAGAGAATAGCCGGAAAGATGTCTGGCGGAGGCCGTCGCGTCACCTAAGTGCACTCGCAGTTTCAGTTTCAGCTCGCACGACTCCCTTTGCACAGAATCTTTCCCACCTGGGGCAGGGACATGTACGAGCCGGCCCCAGCTCGTAACCACGAATAATGATTGAATCTCCCGTCGTAACTCGACGTAGTGATGCACAACCTTGAAACATGGCTTCATGTGTCTTAGTGGACTGACACAAATGGTCACAGAACACCACAGAAAACCTCAATAACCGCCGTGGCACCATTACAAGCGGCACGAGGACAAAGAAGACGGGACGGAACCCCGCTTCCACCCACCACGCCGTCCACGTGCTGGGCATGACCCAGCTGATGAAAAACCTTGCCATCGGCCGCAACAGGAGGCTCATGCTGGGAGAAACACCAGTAGCGTGCGTACGAGTCCATCTTCAAACCCCTCAGATGCCAAGCGAGAGGCAAAGCCATGTAGTAGAAGAGCAATGTAAAGAGAATCCTGAAGCACGAGCTTGCACAGGCATCACAGCAGCTCAACATCAAATCTAGCCCAACATGGTTCCCAGATCGTCCTGTAGATGCCTTGGCGTGGAGTATCAGACCAGGCCCTGCAGACCTTCTCATCCGGCTGAATGCCCAGCAGCGCCTGGCAGTATCCCTTCTACGAGAAAGCACGTTGTGCAGCGAGATATTCTACATTCTGCCCTGCTTCGGCACTGCTACATCTTGGAGAGACTGTCTGCTGCACAAGGCCTTGTCGACAAAGCAGCAAGTTCTTCGCTTGTTGGCTAAGTCGTAGCGCTCCTGGGCACTGATTGCAAAGAGCTTCTCGGGATGGGGATGGGAGGGTGCGCTCTGCGATCCAGGGCTCGTAGCATCCAACGTCCACCTCAGCGTTGAGATGGATTGAAAAGAAGGAGAAGGGGTGCACTGGCCCTGCAGCAGTTCTGCGACCGCGAAGCGGATCGGACGTCGGACTTCATGTCTACCGCATCCCAGCAATCAACCTGTCGCGACAAGCAATGCGATGATGAGCGATGCACGCAGACTCTGCAGAGAGCCTCTTTCGCCTTTGCTGGCTCGCCTTCCTCCTCGCGTCGGCAGGCTTCTGCCACTTCGTAGCCTTCATTTGATCACCCCGGCCGTGGGAGGTGCGTAGATGGTAGTCTGCTCTGTATTGCTGGAGACTCAGCCGCACGCATTTCGACAAGAATTTCCGGTATGCATCTTCCCGAACTTCGAAGTCATCCTCGAGCACAAATCGATTGCAAAGGGAGGTGCCCTGGCGAAGAAGCCTTCCTGGAACCGGGCCACCTGGCCTGGTTCGCAGGATCTTGGACGATGGTCATATGCACAACCGGCTTGCCCGAAAACCTCGGATCACTCAAACGAAGCAGCCCTTCAAAAGCATGAAACTAATGCTAGCCCCTTTCAAGAGCCTCCTGATGCCGACATGGCACGCGGCTTTTCCAAGCTGAACCTTGGTTTCCCAAGCCGAAGAAGTACAGAAGGACAACTGAAGCCAGTCTGTACTTTGTCTGATCATCTGGCAGCCCAGCAGCACTGGCATGGGCACGCTGTGCCACGTATCCCAAACCGATCAGTGTGATCAGGTGGCTGAGAACCTGGAGATACAACTGAGGCTTGCTCGATATCAGCTGCTTGTCTTTGAGGTGCGGACCATGCAGAGAGCCGATGGCTCTTTGAGCCAGGTGAACAGTGTTCGCTCAATGCAACCATGGCAGGTTGTCATGTCTGACAGCCGGAGAAGAATGCCAGGTCCGCCTGCGTCTTGACGATTTCGTATCCGTCCTTGCAGACGTGTCGGGAAAAATCATGTGCAGGTGAAGCTATCAACAAGCAGGCATTCCAGTCTCGGCACCTTGATGGAAGGGATCTGTTGACCGAATATAGCCTCAGCAACTCTATCGGGGCCAGCGCGAGGAATGCATCCGTCTGAATAGCCCAGCAACAGTGTAGGTCCGTAGGCGTCCCGATGTTCCCCTTGTAGTTGACCTCCGGTTACCAGGTGGATCAGACCGAGGCTTTCAAGCCAAACACAACGAGAGTTGGACCTCAAGCTCGTGCCAGCCCACGTAAGGCCTGGCAGCTAAAGGCAACAGAGCGGCGTCATTCGGTACAGCAAATCCAAATGCCCCCTGAGCCGGTGCCTCAAGAACTCGTCAGGCCCATAGAGTGTGCAGCTACCTCCAGAAAGCTCTCTGTAGACATAGGCATTGCATTGCGCGACGTCCTGCAGCCAGCGCTCGATCGACAATTTGTGACGCAAACAAGTTTTCGGCAGGCTGTCCTGGGTTGACTTAATGCATGTGGACTTGCAGCCTTCTGGTCCACCCAAAATGCGATCAGCATCTCGGAGAACGTAGCCTTGCCTTCGTGCAGAACCCCCCCTCCACCCTTTGGTAGCAGTCAAGCCGGACCCAGCCTGACCATCATGCAGCGATCCTCTTCTGCGCCGCAGGGCTCCCCACATTTCGCTGGCACGAAGACATCGCCCACGTGGCTCAGGTTGGCCACAGGACAAGTCCTCTGCTCCATGAGCCACAAGGCAAGAAACTGCGCCAAGACATCCCCGTTTCACACCAGCTGAAGCTCAAGGCTGAAGGCAAACAAGGCTCTCGTAGAGGAAGCACTCGTAATTCGCGCTGCGACTTCCGTTGCCTAGCCTGCAATCTTCGCATTTCGGGGGCTCCCTACTGGGTCACCCGCCTAAGGAGCCTACGGAGCATACGTCAAGGCCCGGGACCTGCCCAGATGCTTCGCGAGGAATTCAGGCACGTGCTCGATGTCGCTCCGAAAGGCTGCCGGGACCTCTGCGGAAACAAAGGCGCGGAAGCTGCGGAGCACCGGAAACAAAGAACTGGCAGGGCCTCGCCCGAATAGAAGACGTGCGTGCACCAGGGCTCCTCTCCCCAAGTGACTCACAGCCCTCGGCTTCTTGCGAGCCCTCTGTCCTTCGCGCAGGCTCTTTTGCCTTCAAGCAGCATTCTGTGAGAAGGGGCCAATGCGAGAGAAGATGCTGTGCAGAATCCTGCTCAATCCAGCCGGGCCGCACTGCTCCACCCGTTCAGTGATGATATGCGTTGAATTGGAGAAGGACTTCCCTTGCCAATCAACAAGAGCACAACTGGCAAACTCACTGCCGGTCCCCGTGCATTCACGAAAATTTCAAGACATGCTTCCATCCATGAATTTCAAGCTGGGGTGCGCTGCTTGGGGGCACCGCGACACGTCAGACCGCTGTGCCCTTGCTCCAAAACAGACCAGGCCCGATTCCTTACTTTCAGACAGCAAGCTTCGATGCCTCTTGCACACATGGTTCCGTAATGCCTCATACAAGCTTCCAAAACGAAAGTTTCATGGGCTTGTAGATGCAAATCGTCTTCTCATAACCTGGGCCAGCATGCCCCCAGCTCGGTGACGCAGTGCAGAGCATGGTGCCGTCCAGAAACTGTGGTCAAAGATCCGGAGCGGAGGCCAGTAGCCGCTTGTTTCCGGCCCGAGGCCCTCAGCCTTGCAAGCTTCTTGTAGCTCATGGCAATCCTCTTCAAACCTTTGCTCAGGCAAAGGCAAAGGCCGAAAACAGATGAAGAAAAAAGCAACTGCGATGTGCAACCCTGAGGCATTGGAGATGCATGCTCGACGTACACCAGGACCACATCCATGTGACCACGATACACCCCAATGCATCGTCCTAACCTCAGCATGTTGCGGACATTTGCGGACAGACATTGTGGGGTTCCTGGATCCCCAAGAGCCGCTGCAGACGGCAAAACGCTGACTTGCACCGGGGACAGGACAGATGCAAAGGATGTACTGCGACTCCTTGCTGCAGCTGCTGGTTTTCCTCGGAGTCCTTCAGAGATGAAAGGGCTGTTGAGCGAAGCACCACTGGCACTCTTGGGCCTTCTCGCCAATCTGGACAATGCGCATACCCTCGGTCAGCAACACCTCCCGGGCTATTGCAGCTTCATGCAGAGATTCTTAGTACTTTCCCTGCGGCCTCGGGAGAATGATCTAGATTTCGGTGTCCCTGCGGCCCTGGCCTTGTGCCAGTTGCGGCTGGACTGGTCCAAGGGCATGGACCAAACCGTCAGGTCCTTCTTTATGAGGAAGCGGGTGTGCACCTGCACATACCACTCCCGCTGGTAGTTGTTCCATGTATTGCTCTCATAGTCTGCGTGCACTATGCACCTGGCCATCGTACGGATCGACATAGGTCACCCTCTCTGTCGAATCAGCCAAACCATCCAAAGCTTTGCACTCCAGTCGAACGTGAAGAGCACTTGTGGCATCGTTCGTAAAGGCCTCTCCTTTTTCAGTGCCTTTGATTCAGCTCTCCATTCCATCCACAATCAAACTGACACTAACGCAAAGGCAAGACCTGCCACTAAGGTCGCTGCAATGGTCGGTGGGACGCAAAAAATAGTCGCAATAATCACCATTGCTGTTGCAACCGCCTTTCAACAGAAAGTTGACTTCGGATTCGGCAGCTCAACAGTCATCGCCAAGTGATCCACGACGATCTTACCTCTTCAACAAAGACATCTGGCCTTTGGTGTAGTCAGCAGGTGGAAACGCACCCGCCACACGTTTGACTTTGCCCAAGAGGCGGGAGTTGTCTACGTGCCAGCTGCAACCGTGCACCTGACAACTCACAAATTATAAAAGCGGCCTTCGCTAGCGCTCAGACCCAGATAGCCCAAATACCCCGTAAGTCAGGAATATACCTGAAATTATAGGGGGGCTTAGTAGGATGATGCAAGGTACAATCCACAATTAAGGGTATTGAACGAGGTATTGGCTCTGGGCTCTGGGGGAAGTCTGGGCCTTCTTGATGCACAGCTGCGAATCTATGCGGACTTTGTCCAAGAAAGATGTGTAATCCTCGGGATGGCCACTGCGAAGGTGCACACCAAGCACGCCATGGCAGCAAAGCCGAGAAACATAAATCGCCCCAATGAGCGAAAGCACCGCCAGCACCGCTGCAAGGCGGGCCAAGAAGGCATTGTTGACACCTCCTTCCTCGGGCAATCCAACTACGAATCAGCCCGCTCCTGCAGCCATCCAGCCTGCTCGATGTTCTCTTTCTGCACCTTGCATCTGCTTGCAAATCTTGGGGTAAAGAATCGACAAAGCCTTCGGGCCCCACCTGAGGAGTCTCGCCAGCGAGCGCCGCTGGCAGTTCTGGACAGGAGCAAGCTCAAGGACTCAAAACCTTTGCTTCTGAGAGGTGCTGTGAAGCCGGCCTGGAACAGGTTGCACCCCACTGCACCCGGGAGCACCAGGCGGGAGCCGTTCTGTCAATATCTCCGGCTTTGGGTAGAGACGGCCTAAGCTTGCCACCCATCCCGTTATCAAACGTGCCCGAACGAAAAAATTGAGAGACCAGAAGGACAGAAGGATCGACCCCAAGTGCATCGAGCGACTGAAGCAGAGTTGCAAGTGCCCAAGACGTCGACGAGCACAGAGTTGTCCCATTCTCCTCCCCTGCCAGGCTTCACAGCAAACTTCAGGCCTCAACTACTAATCTTACCAATGGATGCAAGCTGATGTGAGAGGCCCTTGCAGGCACGGCCTCGTCAACACGAGTGTAGGTGCCAACACAAAGCTCCTGCCAATGCTAAAAGCAGCGCCATACGAGATCTGGGCAGAAAAGCGGAGGTCGCTCCGAGCACTGTTTAGACATTCCCTGTGCTGGCATGCGAGGCCGTCCTTGACTTCAAAGTGTTGCCGAAAGGTCGTTCCACAGTCCCTTCGAGGGCGCTGTGCCCAGGCGTAGCTGAGAAGAAGAACCAGCACCAGTATGCCTCCGCCATTCTTAACCATAAGTGGCAGGAGGTGTCCGTGCAAACTATGGAACTGGCTTTGACTAAAGGCAGGGCCCCGCACTGAAGATCAGCAGCAGTCCACGCGAAACCATCGATGCTTCAATCCGGAGAACCCAGATCCAAAACATGATGACAAGAACCTCGGATGACCACATGGAGGCAGCAAACAAGAGGTTGGTTGTAGGCTTCCCATCTGACGGTGCATGTCAAGGCGAGGGCGAAAACCAGAGCAAGGAAGCAGAGGACCTCGCAGAGGGACGAAAGATCAGGGACACAGCTCAAGAGCTCTGCACTCGGGGCTGAGGGCTTTGCATTGCCCAGGTAGGCTCGCACCGCCCCTCAAGGAGGTTCAGAAGACATCAGTGCGTGACTTGGACCATCGCGAATCTCCCCGCCTGGCTGCGCCTCCTGGCCACGGCCCCAACAGATGAAACCTCAGCTCGGACCCCCGCACTTCTGCAGATCCAACGGCTTGTTCTGTGACCTGAGGGAAGAACGACCCCGCTTCGTCAGAAGCACTGATGCAGAGTCTTCACGCGGTTGAAACAAAAGCCAGAGCCCACAGGTGCTTACCTCAGAAGCATGAGGCTCTTCTGTTTTGGTAAAGCGGAGCTGTGTGTTACAAGACGCTACGAGTACCCTCTTCAGTCGCAGACGCTAGGTCCCAGACGATGTTTAGGATTCGCCGGAATGCCGGGACCTGCTTCACCTGAAACCACATCTTCACGCCTTCCGGATGCTGCGGGTGCCATTACAAGAGCATGCTTAGCACGGGGCCTCCATTCGGATGGCAGCAACGACCGCATCACCTTGGTCTGGTCACTCGAAGCCTCAAGTGCAGACGAGGGACCAACCCCCTTGTATCTGAACTCCTGGCTTTCGTCTGCCAGGTTGTCCTGCCATTCGGCTCTAGAATCTGCCATGTAAAAGCACTTCAGTGTCACATCCCGGGTCTCCTTGCTGAAGTGCTGTATTACTTGGACGAGTGATCTCCGGTCGGCCACAGAGCCGAACAAAGCATCGGCATGAGGACATCCCTGAGTTCCAGCCGCTGAGAAGCAGTTCAAGCAGAAGGCTTCTGCGCTGCAGCAGACGGCAACGTTTTACCTCAAACTGATTTCGGCCTTCAGCTCCTCCTCATCCTCGTCTTCAGAACTCCTTCAGGCGGCCAGAGAAGGGGTCAGTGCAACGCAAGCAGCGCTGAGCATTTTACTGTGCTGCAAGCCTGTCGTGCTGCCAAGCTTCTCATCACCATACTCTTCATCAAGCAGCTTTTCCTGGTGCCCCTCAACTGCTGCCATTGCACCTACACTCCATGATTCAAAGACGCGTTTCCATACCCATGTCAAGTTGGCTTGTGGTTGATGCGATGTTTTTGCTGTTGAGGCTACAACTGCAGGTGAGCCCTCGGAAATGGATCGGATATTTCGCTGTGGCTGTGCCATATCGGTCATTGCTGCAGGTGCCCACGATGCGACGTTCTTTCCGTCCTGCTGCATCCTCTGCACAACAGACATCCCCAAAGCGACCAGTCGAAAGAAAATGCATTGGTTTAGCATGAGAAACCATTCCTCTGAGTCGAGCCAAGTCGTGGCGGCCACCCCTCCCCTCTGCAGAGTTCAACAAGTGCCCAGGACTCATGCCATATTTGCACCCTAAGCCCTAAGCCATGAGTCACCCAAGCCCTAAACCCTAAAAATCCCAAAACTCCAACCTAGAACCAAAATCTACTCCCGAAAAGCTGAAACCCTAGAACTGAATGCCCCAAAAAGACGTAACAATCTCAACTTACGTCCCTCAGCCCTAGGCCGAGGAGAGGGTTGCATGGCTTCCCTTTGCCAAGTCCTCGCAGAGCCCGGCAACGCTGGGCATCATGGCCGTCTCGGCAGCTTTTGCCTTCTTTTTCGGTAAGAGGGCTCCCATCTATTTCTTGTGTGTGAAAGATTTTGTATGATTTTCAAAACCGCTTTGGAAGGGTTTTTATGGTTTAAGTATGGTTTCACGGTTTTGTAGCGTGTGTAAAAGGCTTGCGTAGGTTTCATCTAAGGAAGTATTGTACATCCTTCTCCGGGAGGGCATGATGCCAAAGCCAAGCACTGAGCCCGCGACCCACATGAAGTAAATGGAACCAGATAAGCGGAACTCGCCTGTATTCCTCGGCGAAAGGATTTCTTGCACATGACGTGGCCCATGTGCAAGCGAAAAGAACTTGATCATCAGCCGGAGCTTCAGCAAGACAAGCTCTAATCTAACTGAGCTTTTTGTCGCAGGTGTATACCGCAAGTTCGGACGGAGTGGTCCCGGCCTGTTTGTTTCCGTCTCCCTGGAACGAGCCTTAGAAGGCGGTGGCTGAAAAATGGCAGCAACAAATCTGCAGAACTCAGTCTCCCACATCACGGCTCATAGAGGCAAGCCGTAGAAGACCGCAAACTGCAACCTCGGTCGAGTTTCTGTTTAGAGTTCAGGGATTAGGGATTATAAGTTATAAGGTTAGGGTTGAGCAACATCGATGCCCTGACAAAGGCTGAATATCTCGCGTCGTCTTGGCACATGACAAACTTGTTCAATGGATGCAAACATTTAAGGCTAGGAGAGGAAAGCGTGAGGAAGCCTATTCCAAGCCTGTCGTTTGTGTCTTAATGTTGCGCCGGCGATGGCATGCACATGCAGGACAAAAACGAGCAACCAAAGATGATCTGCTAAGCCATCGTTCGTAACCTACGGAGTAGCGAAACCGTCGGAGCACCAAGTCGCCGAAAGCAAAGCTGCTTTAGACAAAGCTTCTCTCCTTGAGCGACAGCATCTGTCTTCAAAAAGGGATCAAACGGATCCGGTTCTGCACTGCCACCTTAAAGTTACATTTCGTGTGGGCCAGGAATGCCTCAGGACTGTGATGTAACATTCTGTTCAGTGAACGCAGCCCGCGGCTCATGGAACACGCAGACCTCAGCCCCTGAAGGAACAGACTTACACATTGGCTTGGATACGAGAACCATAGGGCGCAAGCGTTCAGGCCAGCAAAGAAGAAAGCCACTCCCCAGAACCTGCCAACTGCAGACAGGATCGAACTCCCAAGAAATGGCCCAGACACTCGCCCATGATTTTCAGCACAGCTCTCAAACGACTTCCGAAACGACGATCGGCGGGGTCATGTGTTCCCCGGTGCGATCATCCAGCGGCGTAGACTTGCAGGTTCCCCGCAAAGCCCACTGTCACAAACAAAAAGGGCTAAAAATGGCTAAAGGGGTAGCTGAGACTGTACACTGTGAAGCCTGAACAGAAGCCCCCGGGTGCTTGGAAGCACGAAAACAAAATCGCTGGCCCATGCCGCGCCATTGGTTCGACTCAGTGGCGCTGACATGTTTTGGCCACGAACTACAGGTTCAGGTTGGGCTTGCCTACAGTAAGCTATCCGCTATCCCAAGGCAGAGCCAACTCTCCTCACACGTCAGTCATTGTGTGTGTCTGTACACCTTGGAGTGCGTGCAGCACACGGAAGCATTTGCAATGAACCTGATCGAGGACGGGGCGGCGAACAGCAAGACGATGGACAGCACCACCGGGTGGGCGGCAGACACAGCTGAGGCCTTCAGGGAACAACACGATCGCAGTTTTGTGAGGCTGTCAAGGCAAGACACATTCGCATCTCTCGGCCCTCCAGCCTGATCTCGAGGGCAGCCGGTCGAAGTCAGGCGGCCATCATCGCGGAGATCGTGAACGAGACTCAGAGTCAGAGGTTGAATTGATGGCCCTTCCAAGCCGGTGGACTTTCAAAAAAACCGAGAACGTGGCTCGTTATATTCCTGTGGGTAGTTGCCACCAGGGAGGAAATCGTCGTGAAACTGATGGTACACTTCAGCCTTTCAAATGGCGAAGGGACTATGACTGTCCCGTGAGAGGCCTTTGCTGCCCTTGCCTGGTAGAATGGATACAGGGCGGTATCATAGACCCACACGAGAGCCTAGAACAAACACTTGGTTGATTGAGCGGGGGTTCCAGTTGGGAATTGGCAGTTCTGTACCGCTCAGCATGGCATAGAGACAGCACTTGCCTGGCCCAAGGTGTCAGGATCGTCGCCATTGCCTGCCTCGAAGCGTATCCGAACAAGCAGACAAATCACGGTTCCGCCGAATGCACTGGCCAATCTGTTTCAATCTCATGTGCGAGCTCTCACCCTTTCCTTCCTCGGACAGCAGAGGATTGGGAACCGTGATGATGTGAGGCAAGATACCTCTTGTGAAGCTAAGAGTTTCGAAAAAATGTCCGAGATCGAGAAAGCCAGGGAACAAAGCAGCCCTTTAACCGCCAGCCCAGCATCTGTTCCCAAGTGATTACTTGCACTGTGATTGTGCTGCTGGCTATACTGCGGCTGATTGCCTTACATTGCCGACAACTCATTCACCCTATCGCTTGTCGATCTGCTTAGTTACTGACTTGCAAAGGGCCCTCTCTCTTTCTCTCTCTCTCTCTCTCTCTTGCTTGCTTGCTTGCTGGGCGTCTAAGGCAGGGGGAGACCCCTACCCTCGCGCATGCTCTCTCTCTCTCTCTCTCTCTCTCTCTCTCTCCTCCGGGCGTAGGGACGGGTCAGCGTCCCCGGGCACCTGGCCCACCCAACGTTTTGTTGGGCTACGGGGAGTGAAGAGCGAACATAGACCGGCAAAAGGCTGAAGCCATAAAGTATTCGATAGCAAAACTACGCCAGTCGTACATTCTCCACGAAACGTGCAGGAAGTGAAGAAGCATGCGAGGACAAGAACAACAGACAATCGAAATAAGAATACTACAATAGGGAGGAGGCGGGAACATCCCTCTCTCTCTCTCTCTCTCTCTTTCTTTCTCTTTCTACCAAGACAAAGGAGGCAGGCGGACACCTAGTCTCGGCAGGGTTTTAACAACTCCGCTTTGCGGGGCCCCCATGCCATCTCCACCCTATGGAGTTCAAGGATCGTCTATCCCCGCAAGCTTGGCAAGTTTCATTCTGTCCCAAGCTGAGGCTCGCATTTCTCACAGTTGCACTCTGGTGCTCCTCGCTTCGTCGGTCTCGAAGGGCCTGGGTGTGATCGGGAGGATCGCGTAGCCTTGTCTACGGAGTCTCGGCTCTCTCGTCCTCATTGAGCAGGACCTCCAGGCGGTGCACTATGTCCCGCGTGGCCTTGAGTGTGTCTTCAGCGGCTTGGTCGGCGAGTCCCAAGGCGCTCTTCCATGTCTTGCTGCAGCTGCTGCACCTCCCTCAAAGTTTTGGCCTGGTCGTCGTAGTTGTTCTTGATTTTGGTGAGCATGGAGGAGATGGTATCTGCATTTTCTGCGTCACCCACTGCATCAACTTGATGGCGCATGGCCCCCACGTCTCTTTGGACCGTCTCCAAGGTCTGAGCCAGGTGGGTCCTATCAAGTGTGCGTTCCTGTGCCAACACTTCCTTCAGCATGGCCAGTGTGGCGACTCGACTTCTGCAGGCGGGCCCCGCAGGCTGTTCCACCCCTGCATGGGTTCTCATGTCCTGTTCCCCTCCACTGCCTGGGGCCTCCCCCCATGGCATCGAGGTAGTATCCAGTTGCACACGACCCGATGTCCTAGCGGCGGATCCTCCCCGCACTGGTTCGGCGTGTGTAGGGCCACCGATCACGGTCTGGCAGTTGCAAATACTGTCCTCGCAGGAGCTGCTGCGGTGGTAGCGGGGCTAAGTTCCCGACTATCTCGCAGTCGAGGGCCCCAAGCTCGAGGTCGCTAGGGCCACGAAGCCACCGACCCCCGCTCTGACAGCCTCTCGCTCCATTCTCGGCACTCTCCGCCCGGGTTCGAGGTCACTGCTTTCTGCGGCTCGGACCTTGAGCACTCACGACCTTGAGCATGGCTACTGTCTCTCTCTCTCTCTCTACCAGG